ATACTGTTATGCCCAGTCCATAGGGACCCCAAAAGACCACCAGAGAGACCGACTCACTGAAATGCCAAAGCAAGGTTTATTGTGTGCACAATACAAGCCAGCAGAGACCTTGTCGGTGCAGCAGCAGCAAGAGAAGGTACCCCGCCCTTCTAGAGGGCATCATTTAAAGGCAAGATCCAGAAAGTTACATTAGCACAGTTTGTGCTGGCTGGTGATCCTATCCTCAACGGCTGGAATGTTAGGAGATCCTTTTGGATGGTCTGTTCCTGGGTGGTGCCTGGGTGGTCTCAGTTTGTGGTCTTCATGTGAACCAGGTATTACCTCAGGGTAAACTACTGAGACTCAGGCCTCTATTGAGCTTGTCATTGCTGTGTCCTACATTTTCCCCTTCACAAATGCCAATGACAGGACCCAGTCATAGGTCCTGCTTGCCCAGGGGGTTAAGGAGAAGTATTGGAACCTAAGAACCATTAGCTAACAGATTTCAGGGCAGTTACCAGCCTACCAGACCCTGTAACTCTGATCTTTTGAGTACAACTAAATTGTAATTGTAATCCTGAATATCCCCTTTGGTTCTATGGTTCTGCATAAAGAATCAAAGTGTCTTTTAATTGTAGGACCATTTTGGTTAATAAATCCATTAATTGACAACTCTTGGCCTATTTTTCTGGTATATTAATGGGCACTATATGTAGTCATTTTGTGCCCCATGCCAGGGAGTTCCCCCTTGTCTCAGCATTCAATCTATTCTGGGCAGGCAGCATGGGATGATGTGTTCCTTTCTACAACTACTTCAGGCTGACATTGGGGCATTGACATTAGGGCCCAAGTAGGCTGAAAGGCTGGCCAAAGGTAAGGAGGGAGTTCAGGCAATGGGGCAGTCGTCGGAAGCATCTGGTTCACAGACCCTATTGAAGAGACAGGGAGCATTCACATCAGCAGGACTGCTGGTCCACATCAGCTTTCAGCAAGTCCAGGGCTCACAGTCATTTGGAGCAGGGTTGTAGTCAGCAACTGATGCTTAGCTGTCCCTGCCAGTCAAGTGTAAACCTACTGAGATAAGTTTAAACTAGGAACAGAAGTTAAAATTTATATACTTAAAGGAAAATAATACATTTGAAACTTTTAGGCCCATATTGAAATCCATATCATAGATAAAAGCAGATAACGGGTATCTGTAAACAGCAGACATAGACTCAAACCTTTGAGTCCTAACAAAAACCACAAATTTTGGTTAGAAGCATGTATATTTTTCTGCTGTCCAGAGAGTCAGGCATGGATTGGACAGAGATGTCTCTGGCCTGATGAGAACCACCTTTAAGTTCATATTTAAATGACAACCAGAATAAATCTAAAATCTTGAGCTTGTGATCCAAACAGTAAGTAGTCATTGCCCTACCAGCTTATCAGAACTATACCACAGAAGGGAAAAGAAATCAGAAACATGTTTTATATCTTAACCTGTATTTACATCTTAAGTCACTTTTTAGACCCTTCAAACATTTTTTTTTAGCCAAGAGACCTAGTAGCTTTTGGCAAAGCAAGGTTTGATTTCTGTATCTATAAAATGAACTGATGAGCTGGCTATAGCTTTATGGAAGGATCTGGATGCCTGTTGCTGCTAAGCTGACAACATTATAGCTGGCCTAGCCATCAATACTCAGAGATCCCAGAAGGGTAAGTAAATTATACCTGAGTACAGAACAAGCAACTTCCAAATCTGTTCAAAATGAGAGGGACCAGAGTCCATACGCAGTTAGCCGTACCCAAGTCTCCCTAGCACTGGAGGCAGGATCCAGAACAGCAGTCTTCCAGTCGTAGCCAAGCCCGGAAGGTGATCTTTGTTCCCCGTGGAAGAGGGAAGTGGAAAAGGCTGACCTTATTGTGTCTAGGGAAAAGTATGCAGTCAGTTCTCCAATGACCTGCTGTCTGTGTGCCCACAGTCTGGCCTGGGTTCCGGCAGCAGCTGTTGCACTGGGGCATCTCGCCCAGTGGTCAACATCATTATAACCCAGGTGGAGACACCATGGTGTTCATAGTCTTTGGAGACCTTGGGTTACTGCTAGGATCTTGGAGTCTCTGTCTAATATAAGCTTTTTAATCATTATTTTAAATGCCATATTCTGCAGATCTCTGAAGTATGAGGGCTGTCTAGGTACATCTGATTGGACAGACTTTGTTTCTAGTTACTTGTTTGACTTTGAAAGCATATACAGGAACCTAAATAAGGCTTATCCCTGTAATATCAGTACTTTAATGATGACTGACTGGCTTGCATTTCCTAAGTCTATAAAAAGTTAGCAGCTTTCATAAGACTAAAACTTTACATTCTGTCAGGCTTCACCTTGAAAAAATAATGATTTTGAATTGAAGCTAATAAGGAGTCATTCTGAGGGTAAAAACAGAACAAGTTTATATTTAGCTGTTAATGCTGTCCCCTGCAAAGGCACAGGAAAAAGGTCCCAGGGCAAAATGGGAACAGGAGGGAGCCTAGGGGCTAGCATTGCCCTTGACAAGTTCTAAGGGGGCACAGTCACACAGCCACTTGTTAGGGAAGAGCCACAAGTTCCCTTTGCCAGAGATAAGAAGGGAGGAAGAACAGTCTCCAAACAACCTGAGGGACTGGGAGCTTTATCCAAATGCTTGACCTTGGGAAAAGTACTTTGTAGTTTTATCTCAAGTGTGAGCCTTAGAAAACAACCATTTTTCAATTGATATTCCCCTTAGTAGCAATACAAAAAAAAATTATGACTCACTTTATTTAAATAGCTTAAACCCAACAAAGTTAGCAAAGACAAGGAGGCTAAACATACATTTTTAAGCCTAAATAGACCTTGAGCAAGGAGCTGCCTTTTTTAAGCCACTGATTTTCAACTTTTTAATGGTTTGACCTTTTAATATATTTTCCCATTGTTATTTAGCAACTGCATAATTCATAATTGCTATGAATTATTGCAAACATCTGACATGCAGGTGGTCCTAGGCTACCCCTATAAAAAGGTTTTTTGTTTGTTTTGTTTTTTGTTTTTTAAACCAGCAAAGGGTCAAGACTCAATGGGCTGAGAAATTATATCAAACCCTTTGCCAGACTGCTTAGGTTATCCATTGTCTTATGGCTCTGACCCTAATTCTTAGCCTTTTATTAAGTCCAAACATTAACAATATAAAACATTTTATAAGCACAAATGTCCCATAGTTTTAACTGTTCTTTAAAAAATTAAAATCTCTTAAACGTCTTCCTGCAATATCAAAAATAAAGTACCCTTTTGCTCCATCTTTGACGGCATATACATAGCCTGTCTTTTAGATCTCCAATGTAGCTGGTACTTCTGGTGACTATCACCCGGCACTGGCATTTCTAAAACTGTTAATG